TTAGAATTCGGTCCGAGAAATTTATAACCAATCAATTTGCAACTTTTTCGCAAGAAATTTAAAACAAGCACTATTTAGACGCTAACATCCTGCCACGGCTCTTCAGTCCTTATTCCTTCAACTTTGTGTTTACCGCAGTAGAGCCTTATGAATTTTAATCGACATTAACCGGCCAGTGTTTTTACACAGAAAATTTAATGCGAAAAATGTTACCTCAGCCAGGGTTTGAACCTGGACTTCCCTACTCTCTAGGTGGGTGTCTCACCAATTCGACCACTGAGGCATGTGAGGAATTGGTGAGACACCCGTCTAGAGAGTACGGAAGCCCAGGTTCAAACCCTGGCTGAGATAACATTTTTCGCAGTAAATTTTCTATATTAAAACACTGGTCGCTTAATGTCGACTAAACAACGCTCGATTATTGTTATCTATTACTGGTAACTTAAAGAGATTTCTCTCGAGCAAATGTTTTAGTAGAAGTAAATAAAAATGGGGTAGACTTACAGAAACGTGATTTCAACGTATCTCATTTGTTTAACTAAATTTTTTCTGGGTGTACTCATCCAATGTCAAACAAGGATGAAATGATACACCGAGGCACTCGAGTGACGTTTCCGAACGCGGCTTGAGTAAGCCAGAACGAGGGTAATTTCTCTGCCCTGATCTCGATAAATTGGATTTCGATAATGTTGGGATAAACGCGGCATTCGATTGACATTTAACGATCGTTGCGTAGAGTGATGGGCAGAATGGTTGCGATACTTTTTTTTTAGTGAGTTTAGAAACGCGTATTTAGATTCAGGTTTATGTTCCAAAACACTTTTTCTTCGAGGAAAATTTTACTTGAGAAATAGATCGAAAACGCTCAAAGCGGTTTCGGAATGGCCGATCGGGTAAAATATTCCTCGGAGAAGGTTTTGGAACGCAATATAAAAAGAGTGTCGCAACCATTCTGTCTATCACTGTACAGGAATTTGCGGATTCGTGAATCTTTTAAACACCATAATTGCAAAATGTTCGCCCGAGTATCGTGCTCTCTTATTTCTAAGACTCTCGAGGTACAACGTCCCGTTTTCTCCCGGTAGAAATTCGGCGGACCCGCCGCGCCGGCGGCGAGATTTTCGTGAGGGAATCGGAAGATTCTCTCGCAGTATCGGAATTAACGGGGAACAAAAGGCAAGGCGGGGGGGTGCGCGCGCGGCCGTTAAACGCCAGTCGAAGCGAGAGCACGCCGAGGAATAATACGTACAATGGCGCGCTTAGACGGCAGCAGGCAAGCAATTCTGAAGATTAAACCCGGCCATATCTGTAATTGACTCCCCGGCACATCCTTGGGCTTTTCATTATTCAGCCGCGCGCTGAAGGAGCGAGCAAACCGGGGAGAGAGACTTTTCCAGCCTCTCCCGTCGCGATTTCCAAGAGCCACTGTCCCGGTGCTCTCCGATTAATGTTCTTCTCCGCGGGAGGCGGACGCCTTTGATCTTTTTCTTTTCCACCCAACTGCGACGCGCGACTGTACGCTTTCTCGGATTTCCGTCGTCCGCTAATCGCAACGTGACTAGTTCTGTTCCCTCCTTCTATATTTCCTACCCCGAACAGGTCTTTCGTTCGCAAACGAACAATCGACAATTTGTAGCGATTTGTGTCGTCGCGATTCAGTTTACGCGCTCTCGGTGAAGTCGGTAACGTCGGTAACGTACGTCAGTCACGCCAGTGACGCTTGCAAGCGCCACGTTGCGTCAGAAATGTGAGAAGGAAATTCCCCCACCACTGCCTGGTCGACGACGACCACGACCAAGATGACGAAGACGTCTCTTAAATAAAAATTTCACAATTCGGACTTTGCATTGCAATATCTCCACTCATGGGGCACGTAGGAGAAAAATAAAAACACTTTTATTATGCAAATTGAACCCAAGCTATCGATTGAGCGCACTTAGAAGTTCATCGAATCAGCCGTTGTTGAGATCCGAAAATCTGTGGGCCTGTCAACTCGCGAACTCGCGCAAACTACACGGCCGGTCTCGCGCGCGCGGTTCTAGCTGCGCTTATACTTGGCGCGAGACACTACCGTGTCTCGTGATAGTTAGAATTGTTCGCGATCGGCCGCGAGGCCCGGCGTAATACGTTCGCGCGCGCAATGTCGGCGCGTCTGCCACGAGGGTTCATACATTTTTACGAGAGGTTTTACGAGCTTTCATATCGGGGCTGCAGGTACGCGAGTACACGCGAGGCTACGTCATCACGTTTTCGCCGCTCTCGATATCCAGTGACATGTCGTTTAACAAAATTCACAAGCGGCGTGCACGGTGCGCGCGAGAGAGAGCATCGAATTTCGATATTCTCTCCCGGCGCGGGGCGGCTCGCCCTTTGTCTCTCGCGCTCGCCGAACCGCCGCTCTCTCCAGGAGACGGACACGCGGCGGTGCGGCGCGTCGACAGCGCCAGGTCTGGTTTTAAAGCCACCCGTCCGGTGTTTTTCCTGTGTTACAGGTGCCAGGAGTGTCCCGTGGTGAAGCCTACGTTCCTCTGCGGAAGCGACAATCGCACGTACAGCTCGCCGTGCCGTCTCGAGTACCACAACTGCATTCACCACACCTCCGTCCACATCGCCTGCAAAGGTTTTTGCCCGTGCAAAGGTAAGGGATACGTTTGTTCTACGCGCGAGTCGAGCTTAAACCGAAACGCTGATTTAATCCGGGCGCCTGAAGGGCGAGGGAGAACTCTAGCGAGGTTCAGATTATCTTAAAAAGGCACGTACCATTGATATGGCGACTCTTTGGCTGCAAACGTTTGTGCGATGCAATTCTTTTTATTACATGTCAGTATCTCTTTAGTACATTATTAGATTCGTATTTCTATTCTTTCACGATATTAATGGTCATTTTATAGCTAAATGATTCTCTCAAAGAAATGATCTTGCAACTGCAGCAATAATTTTCTAGGTACGAAAAAATAACTGAGACATATAAATGAATAGCCAGTATTGCGAAATCGCATATGTTTTGCATTTAATCGATTTAAATAACAAACATAATTTCTATCTCAACTGTTAGCGAATGTGAAGAAGAAAGTCTTTCTGTGACGCCCATCCACTATAACGTTTGATTGTGATACATAAACAGTTATATTTCTTACAAAGATTGTTCTAGTTGGTACCGAAATTCATTTTTATCAAAGGCGAATGATTAATGTTTAGTCATGAAACCTAAGCTGTCCAGAAGATTGCACTAGAATGTTGGTGTTATAAATTTTGTAGACTACACGGAGAGAATTTTCTCGTAAAATTTATCCTGAAAATCACGTAATCGTGGAACAACATGGCATTTCGAAGAATTTTATGAGAGTTTTTTGAAATTTTACCATACGTTTTACTAGTAATTATACTTAGCACATTTTACTAGTAAAATGTATGGTAAAATTTAAAGAAACTCTCATAAAATTCTTCGAAATGCATTTTGTCCCATGATTACATAATTTTCAGGGTACACTTTAAAAGAAAATTCTCTCCGTGTACAAACAATTTTCTAACAGATACACAAAATAGTGATAAAGTTTTGTTGCGACACCTAGAAATCTGCCTGCGTTCGTAAGATTCTTTTGAGTGATTCTTTTTAAATTTCTTATGAAATCTTTCTTTAAATTTGACACTTGTCGATGAAAAAGTGTTATTTTTGTCGTGCGAAGTAATTGTCGGTTTCTATAGTTCGTATATGTTTACATGTTCATGAAAGAGAGAGAGAGAGAGAGAGAGAGAGAGAGAGAGAGAGAGAGAGAGAGAGAGAGAGAGAGAGAGAGAGAGAGAGTTTTATAGGATTATGTTTGTTCGGTTGAAAAATTTCAATGTGTTTTTCAATTACATTTTCTACGAACCATAGCCAAACCATATTTGTATGATGCCAGTCGTAAAAAAGTTGATTAAAATATAAAAACTTCATTCCGCGAAAAATGCAACGTGATGAAAATGTTTGCTCAAACTGTATTTGTTCATTACGCGATTTAAAAAATCTTAATACGTGCGAGACGAAGAAGATGGGGGAAAGACGAGCCATTCGTTATTATGAAATTTTAATTCGTTGTAAAATTCGTGCACTAGAATTCTCTCTCCCAAGACAATATTAAATAAATAAGCTTACGATATTATTTCCGTTCAATAGAATTCGATACTGATAATTATTATTGCGGATGCGCAGGTCGCGCCGAATTATTAAAATTGTTAAAATAACCATTAATTAGGAGCCGTGAATCTAAACAATTCCCTCCTATATATACAAATTAGTGAATCTAATTAATGTATATCTAATTGTGTTTTCAAATGATAAACATCTTGCTGTTCCGCCGAACATAAAATTAACGTTCGAGCACGGTCGCGCGCAAGTAAAGCGATTCGAAGGGCTCTACAAATTGCGAATTGCGGCAGTTTCGATCGTCGCGACGACTTCTACAGCGTACGGTAAAATTTGACCGAATCGTTAACCGCGTTAGAAGCGAAAGCACAAGTCGGCGGCGGGTCTTGTAAAAAGCGAGTCTGCGATATTCAACGCGCGAGATCAATTTGTAAGCATATTCATGTTGGGATACACGTATGTATTGTAAGTTTCACAATGGTGTGAGGCCGCGTTTGCATCGCGCTCTGCGCCGCGACGACACGTGGACCTTCCATGAATATTCATAATTGGCGGTTAGAACAATAGCGCCGCTATTGGGCATACAACGCGTTGTACCTCGGTAAACGTTGAGCGAATCCTGAATCGTCGTCGAATCGACGGGGGAGAACGGGCAAGATCAGGACCGATTGAATTTGCGCACCGGCAATTTGTTATTTGCCCTCAACGTACATGTACGCGCAAGCGTACTTGCATCGCATTCTGGATATAGAAACGACGGGAAGGGGGAGGTGGGGGGGAGCGTATTAATATTAAAACGTACGTGTATGTATTTCCAGGAATTTCCGTAGTGTCCTTCATCGAAAATTTAAGCCGAGAAGTTGTGCAATATTCATAAAATAGAAGCTGGCAAATGTGGCGTTTAAAGTTTCAAAAGTAGATGTTTTTAAGGAATAAATGTATTCATGCTCGACACGTATAGGCAATTTTCACGTAGCTGTTATCGCTTTAATCAAATATAAAAGCGCGAAGGGGTCACTAAGATTCGCAATTACGATCGATAGTTAATGCAAACATAGAGAGATCCACCGTCGAGATTTTTAATTGCGCGTTTTGCAAAAATGCTAAATATACCTTAACGTGAATGTTTTAACGCGATATAGAACGTGGATGGAGCGCTTATTTCGTAGGAAATTTGTTTCGTGGAAGATTTAAAGCTACGCGGACGGCAATCTCTGGCCGGCGACGCTAATGTATGGCGAAGGGAAAAAAGGGCCCGGTATAAATTTCGCTCGGCGCTCGTTGATATTAATGAATATCAACGAGCGAAGCTCCAATCATCTAAATTTGCCGGGCCGCCGGTGTACGAGTGGTAATTGAATTTTATGAAATTGTATCGACGCGCGGCCGATCGCCCGGTGTCCCGCCGGAAAAATCATAACGATCGTCGATCGTGATGAAGTGCGCGCGGTAATTTCCAACGGCCACGGTTAATGAGTGGATTGATTCGTAAATACGATTGATTTCGAAGGCGGTTGCATTTTTATCAGCCATTCCGTAACGTCGCGCGCGTGCACGCGCATGCTGTTTTCATGTTTTAAACATTAATATGAGGCAATAAAATGTTATCGCGTTCACGATCGAGCGGCTCGCAACATACGTGCGGAATATCGATTATCAGGTGCGGTGCCGTTAGGACTATCATGTTCGCGGTTGGACGATCCACTGGAGATATCCGGCGGGCTTGATGAAAAATGACGTGCCGCTGCGCGAGATAAAATGTTTATGCGGGGATCAATCTCTCGTCAAGTTCTCGGCTGAATTAAATATCTGGCGAATACGATGCATAATTTCGACGGTCTGTCTCGATGCGAGGGCGAGAAATGTGTGTGTGTCTGTGTGTGTGTGTTGATGATGAAAGCGGCGTTAAACGTAAACGAGGTACAACGCTTCGGGACAAATCGACTGACTAAAGTTTAGGACTCTCCAATAATGAAAACCAAGGGAAGAACCGTGGCATGTGGGAGTCAAAAATATAATACGCAAATTAAAGCATGTGCAAGATGTTAAACTAAGATCGAAATTTACCAAAATTCGATAGACCTTTCGGTCCCCGCTTTGGGCCCTCTTTGGTATAAAGTGATAATAAATGAATTAACTCGAGTGGTGAACAACAGCCGATCTCTTTTGCAAAGTCGTATCTCGTTTCCTGTGGAGAAAGAACTATTTAAAAAAAGGTCGTATCTCGATTTTACGCAATTTTTGGGTTTTGTGCTTAAAGGGTCATTCCGCTTTAACGGCCCAAAAACTATGCTTATTTTTAACAATTTTTTTCACAATAAATAACACAGAAACATTTTTGTCATAATTAAAAAAATTTTTTAATTAAGCGTTTTCTACACCATTTAAATGGCGTGTCAACAAAGGTGCAAGTCTGCTACGTTGATGACTTTTATCGTTCAGACTTACCTGAAACAAAAATCAAAAAGATTCTTAATCTATATGAGTGTCGCTATGTCCCTAACCTCAGTTAAGAATTTTTATTAAAAAATAACAAGATGGTGCTAGTTTGAGAACACGTTTTGAAAAGTACTTTTTAATTTTGTGTTATTTAAGAGTGCCCTAATAAATCCCAAAAAGATTTATTTCATTATATGGTGTATTTACTGTGAAGAAAAATGGTTAAAGATAGGCATAGTTTTTGACCCGTTAAAGTGGAATGACCCCTTAAACGGGTCCAGGACGGGCGTTTAGGCGCCAGAAATTGCGTAAAATCGAGACAGACGTCTTGCGAAAGAGATCAGTCGAGATGCATCTTTCGCCGTTAATTCCAGTCGCGTCTTTCTACCTTTTGCCGTTGCGTCCCACTTCGAAGGCGAGCCCTCTTAAACACTCGGGTTTCCGCGCCGTAAAAATTTTCCTGTTTCTCTCGGCGGGGAAATTATTGATGTTCTCCACTTGGAGAACGGCGTCTCCCGCTCGCGTACGACGACGAGCCCCGGGGGCGCCTTCCGCGCGCACATCGCGCGGAAAAATCGTCCCCTTTTTCCGCGCGGACGGGGCGGCGGGAAGTGCCCTGGCGCTTAAAAGCGCAGTCGGCCTTTCGATTTCTGACATGCAATTTGTCGGCAGTCACGCTCGAGTTGATTCGGGCTAACGAACCAAGTATTTTCGACGCGTCGCGCCGCCGCGCCGGGACGAAATGTAATTTCGCCGCGACTTGCAATCAGCGTGTGCCGCGAGAAGAGTACATTAATCAGAGGTGAAATTTTGCAGTCGCCGATCTGCGAACGTACTCGAAGAAGACGCAGATGCAGAGGAAGAAGATGCTCATGGGCAAGATGGGCCGTAGCCACGACATCACCCTCACGCCCCGCGACTTCAATTACGATAATCATCACTACCAGTATCTCAAGTACACGAAACGCGGCAAGGTAAGTCATAATCGCTTCTTACGCCGTTGCCCCGCGCTGCAAACGACAGGGAAAAACATTACGCGGTGTCCGTGGAATCGCGATCGAGTTCCCGGGTGGAAATGCGTTTCTCCACTTGCCACGTTAGGTATTGTATTCTCTCGCGTAACCTTTTTTTTTTAAAAAAAAGGTAAAAATAGACGCCAAGTATAAGCGTCATCCAATCAAGAATTATGTAATTTAATTTTTTTTGATATATTTTGTTAGGAAAAATATATTTTTATTTTCTCTACAAAAGTAATGATATCATCAAATTGCGCCAATTGAAATGGATATTTATACAAACTAGATGCTTTATTATTTTTGATATCAAAATGTTTTGTCCGAACAATCGAGCGTAGGATTTTACCGAAAGAAATAAAGGAGACAATATTAATGAGACCAATTTTTAATACTTATTCAATAAAAATATAACGCAAACAACTTTTTAATACAGATAAATATTTTATTAAAAGATGGCCTTTTCTAGTTTAATAGTTGGATACATGTCGGTCCTGATTCACGACATTATTGTTTATTGAAAAAACTTGGCGCTGCTAAACCAAATGTTAATTGCACTTTTCCTCCTTCCTTACAAGCATGAAGCCTGTATTAGTAAGCAGTGTACATGATTTTGGTCAGCGGTTTACTCCTCGGAAGTTTCTTTTAAAATTTAGCCTGAAATCTAATATAATCGTGGGACAACGTGGCATTTTGACGAGCTTTTTAAAATTTTATTAATAAAACTTTTTTATTAGTGAAATGTATACTAACAGTAAGTGTAATTACTAATAAAATGTATGATAAAATTTTTAAAACTCTCATAAAATTCTTCGAAATGCCATGTTGTCCGATGATTACATGATTTTCAGAATAAATTTTAAGAGAACATTCTCTCCGTGTACATGAACTTTTATATTAATGTTAAATGAATTAATGTAAAATTCATACAATGGAGAAGTAACCACTTTTACCTTTTTTCTTGGCTGAAGTTAGTTCTAGACAGTATTTTTACCTCCTTAAATATTAATATTAGTAAGCGGGCCAAATCAAATGTCGAATCGTGACGATGCTTTTGGATACACAATTATTTTTGCAAGAGAGATTCTTGGACGAATATAGAAAGCAAAAATCGATTATAAATTGAACAGCTTGCTTTGATAAAAATAGAAATAAAATACCGCGCAAATTTGCCCAATATTATACAATATAAACGCGATATTATTTGTAGTTTGTGTAGCACATTTTTTATGTTTTTTTTACAAAAATTGAACGTGATTGAAATTACTAGAAACAATAAAGCGATTACGAGTATTGAAATAATACTTTCGAGTAATTGGACGCAAGAAACAATCATACTTTCCGCGGTGAATATTACATAATAGGCAGATTATTTGTACTGTAAGCTGTGATTTGTGTGCAAGATTGCAATTTTCAGCCGGGCAATGCGAGAGCATTTTCCTCGCATAGAACCCCATAAAAATGGATTACGGCGCACGCGCTATTTCAGAAGAAACACGAGTTCGTACTTTATAGCTTCGTGGTTTGTTCGTTATTCTTAACTCTTTACAGATTTGTGAAGTGGCTCGCCGGCAGTAGTACAGCTCTTTTAAATCTAGCTCGTACGTACATACGATACGTATCTTCTACGCGGTCGGAGTGAGCAGCGTCACCTTCAACAATTGTCCCATCTCCAGTAACTCGTCGGGAATATGTTGAAATTAGAAAGTGTTAATTAAATTCACCTGGCTGGAATTCACGGGTCGACCGAAATTTACGGCTGACGTTTGGATAGGCGCGCATTTATTCGCCGAAGAATTTCGGCGAGGGCGGAACCGGGGGCTGGCTCCACTCTCCGCGGCACGGAGTAGACGGAAGAGGATACAGATGTACTCGCTGTATTTTTGTTCGCGTTAAGAACAAAGAGTCTACATATCACGTTTACGGTACTAAAGCGAGGCGGGGCCCTCCCTCCGTGTAAATCACACAGCGCCGCGTTTCCCTAGGTCGCACTTTCACGGTGCGGCTCTCTCGCCCGTCGGCGATTATCGACCCGATCTCAGGAAAAGCGCTACTTTTGGCCCTCGAAATTACAAGGTCGCCAGGCGCAGATGTTAACCTAGGTTCGACCCCGATGAGACACTGTCCTCAACGACAGGCGAGAATTCCGATAACTGGCAATCGCGAACTGAATTGGTCATTTGTCAGAACGACGAATTCCGCTGCGGTGCCGACTTGAGGGGGAAAAAAAAAATCGCGATCGAGCATGTCCCGCGGTCGTGAAATTGTGAAAAGGCATCGCGCTTCGCGCCGTAAAGACAATTTAGCTCTTGCCTCGTGTTGCTCGGAATGGCCCTTTAAAGAAAAGTTAAAAAATTAATTGAATTATTGCACGTGTGGAGTTAAAACGTACGTGTGTAAGACAAATGGGAAAACAGAGCTTCTTCCTTTAGGAATCCTTTTAGAAACTTTTAGAAATTTGCAATCACAAACTTCTTTTTAATTCAAAAGTACAAAGTTGCGCATCGCAACATTTGTGAAACTCCCGTCGCCATCGCGATGGCAACAAATTAATATAAACAATGTAGAAATTACTATAACTACATAAGAGTACACACTTTCAAATAAGAAAAAGTTTGATTACATCCCGTAAGTAGTTTCTGAAAAACCCCCTGGCTTTCCTATTTTTCTATTCCCCTGCACTGTCTTAACACAGTTTGACATTCTCAGTTGTAAGACCACGCGAAAGCTTCTCGAACAACATTTGTTTCTTCCGAGGAGGAAACCGCTGACCAAAATCTTGTACACCAATGCCCACTAATGCCCAGTGGGCACTACTTTATCTTATTATTATTCTTTTATCTTATTTATGTTGTTTTATCTTATTTTATCTTTGTAATGCCCCAGCAAGGCCGAATGCCCAAACTAATGCCCCAAAAATGCCTAGTAATGCCCGAAATCTGTACACCGCAATGCCCTCAGCGGTTTCCTCCTCGGTTTCTTCTTGCACTGACGTCGCGTAAGGAGTCGAATTCGTTTTTCGCGTCGCGAACTCGTTCGTTCGAACGGAAAAGAAGGGTGAGCCCTTACTTAAATTTGATTTCGACTTTCCGTTTCCCCGCTTCGTGCCTGCGTGTCGCATGATAACGCAGAGGTGCGCACCGTTGCGGTACCGTTGCTTAAAAATTGATTCGTTCAAAATTTCTCGGCCGGGGAGTTTTATTGATACTGGCACGTAAAAGTGTAACTTTCCGCATCGCTGGTGCACATCCGAAGGGAACTTCCCGACTCTCTCGCTTTTTATTGACGTTAGAACGTACAATTACTTAAACTTGTACACAGCTGCTACTCAGTACAGAACGTTTTTCTCTTTCTCTCCCGGTCGATGCTAAGGCACTTATGCGTGTCACATTTAGTATTATTCACCTTCTTTTCGCGCTTCCTCCCGTTCTCGCGATCTTATGATCTCCCCGGGGGAATTTATGAACGCGGCCGCTTGCGCTAAAAAGCAACGTCCAATATTGTAGCTTCCATCGCCTGCAGCTCGTGCCGTATTCTTCATCCTGTTACCCGTGCATTACCGCTCCTATCCCGTTCGACGATAAATACAGGATGTATCTTAAACGTAAGTTTAAGAGGAGCTCTGTGTACAGATGTACAACGAGCAGGATTCTTGTATAAACTGGCGTGAAAAAAAAATCGCCGTATATTCTCTCGAGTGGGTTCTCAAGTGTTTACACTGAGCCGTCACTGTTAAAACTTATGTCGGGTGTATTTTTTAATGGGAAGTAGTTGTTTAATAAATACGACGCCTTTTTATTAGTATAAAATACTCGTGAATAAACATTCACATTTGCTGATAATGGACTGTATCTTACAATTTACTGTCTCGAGCTCTGGATGTGAAGTGAAGAAGACGGCGAGAGAGAAACCTAATCGAACTAATAACCGACCACTTAGACAATATAAACATTTTTGCGAGGGGCAAACCACTTGGGGCATTGTGGTGTACAGATTTGCGGCATTACTAGGCATTTTTAGCCATTAGTGGGTGTTACTTGACCTTGCTAGGGCATTATAAAGAATCTATAAAGATAAAATAAGATAAAACGAGATAAAATAAGTTAAAACGAGATAAATAAGATACAATAAGATAATGAGATAAAGTAGTATCCACTGAGTATTACCGTCGAATTTTAGTGCATTAGTAGACATTGGTGTGGTCACGTGATTTCGGTCAGCGGTTTTCCCCTCGAATATAAATTACACAATATAAGGCAGGAGAGCTTAGATCGAGATTCGCGGGGTTTAGGCTCGGAAACTAAGTTATTGAGATGCGAGGAGAGGAAACGCTTTTCGTTTGCTAGGGGTCGGTCGTGAAGAAGTCGCCAGCCGTCGTCCAAGTGTCATGGCGAGCATAGTGAAGCGAGCTGTACGTCGCGACTACAAATTAAATAAATATTCTATTCCTCGAAACACTTTGAAGCACGGTGGTAACCCACGTTACCACCTCAACTTCTTTACTTTTTGGCCATTTAATTTCTAGTTAACGCATTTAGGTCGGGTTTTTTGCATTTTTTGGATATCTTAGTAATAAAAGGACACAAAAAAAAGAATTGAGTAGTCTTTAACATTTATCGTTAAAATTTTATAAATAAACCAATATGAAAAGACAGTAATTTTTGGGGAAAAATTCATTATTGACCAAGATAATTTCTTGAAAACCTTGTACAAAAGGGTTTTCGGAGTCGCTCATTACGAATCTGATGTCAGATTTTCAAAATTCCAAATGGCCGACCCAAAATGGCGGATGCAAAGTGAATTGTTTAAGTTGTCCAGTTTTTCAGCAATTTTGTTTGACTACGTCAAACAAAAACTTCATCACGTCCGGGTCGTTAGCTCTGGGTAGTGCCAAGAGTGAGTAAATTATGTATGCTTCAAAGGATTAACCATTTAAATTACCGTAATACCCCACAATGAAG